CAAATAGGTTAGAACAATATTTGGGTCACAAAAGTCACGTTATATTTTGGTATTGGGGAATTCAGACAAAACACTATTTTCATAAAACTTTTCATCAAATCACCAACTGATAATTTTGGGCCCATGATCAGGTCTGATTTGTGTGAATTAATGGTTCAGTACTCGGCACCACTATTATACTCGTATATTTCAGTTAAAAAATCAATTATCAAAGAAACTGTAACTATGGCAACTTAGTCTAATGGTGGAGGTGGGTGGCGCAATGAAAAAACTGGTAGAACTCCTCAGTCTTGATTTATTTCAATTAGTATTACATTAGCACACTTACAACCAAAAACTATGATGCTCTCTCTAAGCTGGTCTCGATCAGAAAGGGAAGATTGACAACCAGCAAAACACGAACACGCGAATTTGAATATGAAAAAGTAATAATTTAAAATATTAACGTAAACCTGCCTATAGTAACGTGCACGGACGTTACAGTACTAAATAATTATTGTGATATTTTTAGCAAAACGCAAACCATTGTTTTAATGAACTGTCATATTGTCTCATAGTGTTAAAAGATAGTGACTCTAATATCTATACTATAATAAAAACGTAACCGATCGATGTCTGTACATTGAAGATATATGAAAAAAACTGTTATGAGGGACATTTATAAGAGTAATAGAACACAAAACAATGATTTTTAAATTTTTTGTCTGTTTGTCGGTTTGTCTGTTTGTCTGTGCGTTTGTGCACGATAATCTCAGAATCGGCTGAACCGATTTAAATGCAGTTTTCACTATTATATTGCGGCATTCTTCCGTTAACATTTAGTGTAAGATTTATTTCAATCGGTTCACAAATAAAAAAGTTATGTCAATTTGAAGTGACGTGGTCGTCAAAATTGCTATGAAATATTTACTGTTTTAGTAAATTTTCGTCCTTGATTATCATCATATTGATCATCATCATTAACTCTTTCAAAGCCAAACTGCAGGGCCTCAGGCCTTTGTTTAATAATTTTTGGTCACCCATCCCGTGAACAACTCTTGCGAAAATTGCTTAGCAATAGCGATCATGCGCAGCGGCGCATATCCGTAGCGCCACCGAGCTACGAATTAATATTGTCTATAAAATGATAATTTGTATGATGACAAATAAAAAAATAAGATTCCAAAATTTAGACAACTCCGAAGTAAGTTGACCTCATTTATATATGGCCAATCATATTAAATAAGGTTCAGCTTAAAATGGACATGTGGTATACGATCACTCGAGTAGGAGAACAAGCGGATAGAGCCTTCCGATGATGCAATTAAGCCTCGAGTAATTTACAGTGAACGCATATTTTTATCAGATTAGGTTCACGTCGTCGTCGGGGCCAACGGAGGTGGTTGGCAGCCGCTCCCGCATTGCACGGTTTCTTCTGTCTGGGAGAGGCACTCGATTTACCCGAGTCTTTCCAATTTTCCATATGCAAGGGGACCAATGGTCCAATACTTGAGTGTCCCGGTGACTCGGCCATAGCTTGCTGGGTTTCATCTCTCATGAGACGGTGTAGCGTACGGGTTTTGGTGGGTAGGCCTCTGGGGACCCACTGGGCAGCTCACTATCGGGTTCACGGAGGATAATCCTTCTCACTTCATAAGTCAGAAGCTTTTTCACGACGTTAAAAAAGTTAGATTCACGTCAACTGAAGTAAAGAACGTAAAGACAACTCGATTTTTTTTCTTCTATTACCATTTTTTATGTTAATACTATTTTTGTTTTTTTTAACATTCAAATTTGCTGTAGATACGTCCATCAAAGTTGGTATTTTCAGTCTTCGCCAGAAACAATGGTTTATTCATTGGTCACAACACTATTAATATTAAGGGAGTCTGAGGGTCGGTTCAGAGTAGCTCGGTTGCGTAGTGAATAAGTGGCATGACCCGCGATTGTAGTTGTTAAGGCACTTTCGTAAAGGTTGGTCACAGGATGGGTGACCAAAAAAATATTATCTCAAGGAACTCCAAGCTTCAAAAGGCACGTAAAGCGATTGGTTCCGGTTGTATTTGCAGTCGTTAATATACTCCAATCCATAACGGACCAGCATAGAGGGTCGTGAGCCATCCTCCTTAACTATCCACAAGGAAGGCCTGAGGTCCTGCAGTCGGTGACGTAAAAGGGCTGATGATGATGAGGGCCGTTCAAATCTGACCAAATGCTCAGATAGACACCTCTCCGAAGTATGTGTTAGTAGAATATTTCGAGTGTGGAAAGTCGAAATTCAAATATGTATATATTTTTTTATATCAATCAATAAAACTTCACGTATCTTCCGACAGGAGACACCTGCAACACGCGAAGCATGTTTAACTGCCCATCGCGAGGCTCATGCACTATAAAGTTGAACCTGAAACATTTACCATCAGGGACAATCTCTTGAGCTCTCAGAGAACTCATACAACAAGCGTTTGATCTCAGAAAATTCTGAAGATGGCATAGCACGTCTAACTGCTGATCGTAACATAAACTTAATTTGATAGAGAAATGCGCTTGGTCTCTGAAAGTGCTCGCAGTTTGCACAAAAGAGATCGAGAAAGTAGTTTCGATTATCGCCAATCCGTGTTGCCTTCATACTCCAAAGGCGTATCGCAGATAAGTTTTGACAGGGTATAATGAACTAGCTGTTCTACCGCGACTTTGCCGCAAAATTATAGCCAATGACATCCGCGTCTGATGTCTGATGATCCGGTCGGACTCGCTCTGAAACTATCGGTCCAATAGGTGTGCAGCAAATCTTTCCTCTTTATATTATATAAGTATAGCTTAGGTATAAGAGGTCCGATGGCATAGTGCATTCGGCTTAAATTGCAGTTAAATAAGTAAGTAAATACTGCACAACAAGGACATACATGAATACTTATTTGATATAACTAAGTACAAACGACAAACTCATCGCTAGCCAGCGATTTCTTCCAGGCAACCTAGCATTACATAGAAAATAGAAAAATAAATAGCTGATCGTGCATACAACTAGACAAATAATAATAATTTAAAAAGGTCAAAAACAAAAAAAGGTCAATTTAAAGGTACAAATGAAATGCTCAGACACAAGCGACAACCAGAGCGCGAGAAACGAGAAAAAAGATAGAAAAAAAACATTCGTGAGGACCGTTTGCAGGATGGGTGACCAAAACATTATTATCTTGAGCACTGTGCACAGCACTGGCACAATCCAGGTTAAGCCGTTAGTCCTGGCTGCATCAGAAACGTTAACACCCACCGATCCGCATTAAGCCCGCATAGTGGGTTATGGATCATTAATCTTATTCGGTTCGACTCCATTCATAGGAAAAAAATAATTCTACTAAAATACTTCCCACGCAGACAAAGTCGCCGGCACAGCTAGTTATTTCTATAGCTTTAGATGAAAGGGATCGGTTTAGTAAAGTTTGTCGGCCAATTTTCCGGCAACCAATGTAAGCTTCTTGTGCAGACTGTGAGAGGACCTCAAAGGTGGTAACATGGCTGCATAGGCCATTGTGGCACTATGACTATGCCTTCAGCTTTGTCGTGAATATTTTTTGCAACGTTTTTAAAACTACTGAAAAGGGTGGAAAGGCGTCGAACAATAGATCAGACCACGATATCGTAAATACATCGATAACCACAGAATCTGGATCTGGTTTCCAAGAAATATATTTTTTGCACTTAGAGTTTTGTCTTGTAGCAAATAAATCAATTTGTGGTTGAAAAACATGAACGATGTTCTGATAAGAAGTATCATTTAATTGCCATTCAGTATCAACATTTGTAACACGAGATAGTGTATCCGCCTCAATATTTTCTTTCGTATTTTTATAAGAAGCAAACATGAAAATCCTATAAGATTCGCAACATTGCCAAATTGATTTTGCAATTACATTTAAATGAGGGTATCTTATGCTTCCCATTTTATTAATGCAGGATATTGCAGTAACATTATCAATACGATGTAATATTTCACAATCGTACAGGCTTTTAGTGAACATTTTTAGGGCATTAAAGGCCGCTTTCAATTCTTATACATTAATATGGCTTTGTTTTTCATTTTCTTGCCAGTGACCATAAGCTCTTTCACCGGCTCAGAAAGCACCCCAACCAGTAATAGAAGCGTCTGAGATAATTTTAAGTTTGAAATCATCATGACAGAGTTAGCCCTGATAACGAACCCGCATTATGTAATTCATTTAGTTATGTAATTCATCGAACACAACATGAACAACGTACGAACGTTCTATTTGATTCATATTGACAACTATTATACATGAGCAAGTTACTTTGGCAACATGAATTTGATGGAGCAATCATGGCTATAACTAATTATTATTTTCACGGTGGAACAAATTCTTGACTTTAAGTCAAATAATGTAGGTTGTTCCACTTTCCCTTCTTCCTCTATCCTGCTCTCTGCCGATTATGATTCTTAAATTACTTCTACAAAATTTTTTTCTAGAAAAATTTGACCTGGTCTCACCTATTCCGCTGTAACATGGTAAAATATCCAAAATCTGAATTTACTAACAAAAATAGGAGGTAACCATTTAGCCAACTAAGATGAGGGTAAGGTAATCTTTGAGCATACAAAAGGATGTTTATTTATTCAAAATAAGGGATGCTTGAAAACCGAAAGCTGATGGGCGTGCATCGAAAACAAAAGATTTGTGGACCCCAAATAAATTTAAATAGTTTATTATATTTAACCGGAAAAAATGCAAGGTTTGATCTATTTTTTTTTCTCAAGTTTGTATTCAAACAATAGACGTGACCTTATAACTGTAGTTCATATTTTCCCTAAAAATCCCAATATGATACTACTACCAACGAAAAATGACTTCAAGACCATTAAAACATAACTTATAAAAAATTTTAACAAAAATTTTAATGAATTAATAAAAATAAATGAAATACTTTGTCATTTTAATTTCTTTAATATGATAATAACACAATTATTATTTTAACTCTAAAAGCCATTAAGATTATAAGAATCAATTAGAATTTTCCAATTCGTGTCTTCTTTTAATTTTCATTTTAGGTTCTATGAATAGTTTTTCATTCGATATCGCTAGCTTATGTAATTCAGTATCAGTTGGGCTGGAAAAATGCTTTTTATCAATAGAATTATTAATTACTAACTCTTCAGTAAGTTGATCTTCTGCTTTTTCTTCACCACCCTCAACATATTTATCATTTTCCTCATCCAGCTTAGTATTTATATCGTAATTCGGTTTTTCATCTAAATTATCTACTATATTGTCTTCTGGATGATATGGATTATTGTAACTGCCATATTTCATAGCAGTTCTTTGAACAATTTGATCAGCTAACTTTTTGAAATTATCCGAGTTAATTAATCCACTAACAATTTTAAGAAGATCATTTGAGTCAATTTTTATTTTTATTTCCTTGGAATTTATAATATTGAGACATATGAATATACCTGAAAAACACGATAGTATAATAATTTAACACATTAGTTATATATTTATAATTAAATATGAATACTTACAAGCAATAGTAGATGAATAAAACATGTTTAAACACAAACTGTAAGACCACACAGTACTTCTACTAAAATACGTTAACGAATTAAATTACTTCCATAAAACTTTAATCACTATAATGTGAATTTGTAATAAAACTGTAATAGTTTTCTTCGCTACGTGGAGGTAGGTACTATCTCATAATACCTATCTCCGAGTAGCCAAATATTATTTAATAATTAAAATTAAATAATACATAAAAAAACATATTATTCAAGTTTAATTAGGTCCATCATACTTATTTATTGCGTTTAATATGTGTTCACGCTTATAACCTACGCACATCGCGTCAGTTCCTGCATTGAGACATGTGTTCATACATTTTGACACTTATTATAATTCTTTGTCTCGTTTATGATGATATTTGCTTTATGGTATGGGAAGCAGTTAAGCCTTAAACCATATTAAATTGTTTCAAGAAACATCAACAAACAGGAAGCTCAGAAATAACACCGTAAAACGCAACGTCGATAAGAATAAACCAAAATATAGCAAGTGTCCTGCACATTCTTCCTCTCACAACAGCATGTTTGATAATTCCCTAATAAATTCCGATTAATCGAAGATCTTATTAAAGTTCCAAATCATAAAAAGAAACTCTCAGTGATGGTGATGAAGTGAACACCGATTTTGATAGATATTATCTGCAGTAACGATTTACAGTCTTATGAAGCTTCTTTGGGTGAAAGAGAAGACGAACTGCCAAAGTTAGATGATGATGAATCTATTAATTTGTAATACATCTTTTTCTAAATGGAATATAGATAGAGGACACAACTTATTTTTAGAAGTCATACCGACACGAAATTGAACTTCCCTTTCCTATTTAGACGCATTTTTTCTGGGTCTCTATAAAACGGTCTTGAACAAGTATTACCGTAGTTTTGCAGTATTTATAATTAATCAAATGTCTCTCTACAAGTTATAAGATATTAAATATATGTATACACTAATTCTGCGTGCTAGTTCTGCCATTGTGAGATCGAAGTAACTTTTATAAAAGCCGGTTATAAGATGGCTGATCACAAAATTGATTTTAGAGGTATTTAAATTATTTATATCATCATCATCACCAGCCCTTTTAAGTCCCCACTACAGGGGTCCAGGCCTCCCTTATGGATGGTTAAGGAGGATGGGCTATGACCCTCCACGCTGGATGCGGATTGGAGGGTTTTAACGACTACAATCGCAACCGGGACCAATGGCTTAACGTGCCTTCCGAAGTACGGAGTAGCTCGAGATAATAATTTTTTTGTAACCCATCCCGTGACCGACCCTTGCGATAGTTGCTTAACGACTATGATTGCGGGCCGCGGCGCTTATCCACTACGCCAGCGAGCTATATTTGCTACATTTCCATATGCAATTTCTGTTCAAAAAGTATGAGTAGTATTACATACCACATATGGTGATTAGTGTTAGACGTTGTGTTCAGTAGAGGTAAACTCTCTGCGAATGCAGATGCGATTTAAGTTCATTGTTCCCCCACATATTTGTACACATATACATTATTCCTTACCAACGACTGATGTATACGCCTCTAATACACGGGTAGTTCTGCAGAAGTTCACGCGTAGTTCTTAAGTGCAATGGGCTGCCAATATTTCCAATATTTATGCCGCTTCAGCTAAATAACTAGATCGGGCCATGTGCTTTATTAAAATAGTAGCATGTGCGTATAGAAATTCAATTGAAATACTAGCTTTTTGCCAGCGGATTAACCCGCGTGAAACTGTATTATACATATAAAAATTCTCTTTGATGACACTGTATAATAAAAAAAAATCGCATTTAAAATCCGTTATCCATAGTGCATGGAAGATCTCAGCTTACAGACAGCGGAATGCAACTTTATTTTATTCCATGTAATTTAAGTTTATTTGTCGGTCAGATAGATTATTCAAGGGTATTAAACACGTATTTCTTAAAACATGCTAATCAATAAATGACTGCAATACATTGAGTTGAAATCTAGCATGACGTCACAGTTTTGTACATTTTCTTGTCACAATTGTGACTTTAATGCCTATCTAAATATTTTCTTGTTAAAGTGAAGCAAAAAAAAAATACGACGTATCTTATATTTTTCTATTATCTGACCGGTAAACCTAATAGAATTAAGGTTTTATTGCCTTAGCATCAATCCTATTACATCAGATTTAAATCCTATTAATATTATAAATGTGAAAGTTTCTTTGTTTGGATGTTTAGATGTTTGGATATTTATCGGTCAATCTCGCCGAAACTACTGAACGGATTTTGATGAAATTTGGTATATAGATAGGGTATTAGCTCACTTAGATAATATAATACTTTTTATCCCACATAATATTTCCCTAGGGTCAACGCGGGCGAAACCGCTGGCGAAAGTTAAATAAGATATTGATCGAAATAAAGATTCATTTGAGTAAATATTAGCTAACCTAACTTATTGATAATGGTCTCTACTATAAAATTTTAACCTTGAAAATGAGGTTAAAATGTATTATCTATATCTATACTATAATAAAAACGTAACCGATCGATGTCTGCACATTGAAGGTATATGAAAAAAACTGTTATCGGGGACATTAATAAGCGTAATAGAACACAAAACAATGATTTATAATATTTTTGTCTGTTTGTCGATTTGTCGGTTTGTCTGTGCGGTTTCGTCTCCCATGAGAGGGTGTAGCGTACGGGTTTTGGTGGGTAGGCCTCTGGGGAACCACTGGGCAGCTCACTGTCGGGTTCATGAAGGAGAATCTTACTCACCCCCTGTTGCTTGCCAGATGACAGAGACAATACCTGAAGTTTTCCACGACGTTAAAAAAGTTAGATTCACGTCAACTGAAGTTAAGAACGTAAAGACAACTCAAGTTATATATTTTTTATATTAATACTCTTTTTGTTTTTTTTTTTTACATACAAATTGTTGTAGATACGTAGTTCAAATTTGGTATTTTCAGTCTTCGCTGGAAACAATGGTTTATTCATTGGTCAAAACACTCATATAATATTAAGTGAGCCAGAGGGTTGGTTCAAAGTAGCTCGGTGCGTAGTCAATAAGCGCCATGGCTTGTGATTGTAGTTGTTAAGCAACTTTCGCAATGGTTGGTCACAGGATGGGTGATCAAAAAAATAGTATCTCAAGCAACTCCAAGCTTCGAAAGGCACGTAAAGCGATTGGTGCCGGTTGTATTTGCAGTCGTTAATATCCTCCTATCCGCATTCGGCCAGCATGGAGGGTCGTAGGCCATCATCCTTAACCAACCATAAGGAAGGCCTGAGCTGATGATGACGATAAGGGCCGTTCAAATTTGACGGAATCTCAGATAAGCACCTCTCGGAAGTATGTCGAAAGTTGACATTAAAATATGGATATATTTTTTATATGAATAAATAAAACTCCACGTATCTTCCGTCAGACGTCAGACATGTACCGACCGACTTTTATTGACAAAGAAGGAGATCGGACGGAAAGCGCTCGGTCTCGGGAGACACCTGAAAAACGCGAAGCTCATGCACTATTAAGTTGTATCTGAAGCATTTACCGTTAACAATCTCTTGAGCTCTCTGAGAACTCATACAACAATGTTGATCTCAGGTAACTTCTGAAGATCGCATAGCGCGTCTAACTGCTGATCGTAACATACATGCAGTATGGTATGAGTATGAAACTTCTTTTGATAGAGAAATGCGCTTAGTCTCTGAAAGGGCTCGCAGTTTGCACAATAGAGATTGAGAAAGTAGTTTCGATTATCGCCAACCCGTGTTGCTTTCACATTCCACAGGCGTACCGCAGATGTTTTCACAGGGTATAATGAACTAGCTGTTTTCCCGCGACTTTGCCGCAAAATTATAGCCTATGACATCCGCGTCTGACTTAGCTTCCCATAGGTCGGAATCGCTCTGAAACTATCGGTCCAGTAGTTTTGAAGCAAATTCGACGCAAACAAACAAACCAAATCTTTCCTCTTTATAATATTAGTATAGCTTAGGTATAAGAGGTCCGATGGCGTAGTCAGTTAGCGCGTTCGGTTTAAATTGCAGTTAAATAAGTAAGTAAATACTGCACAACAACGACATACATGAATAATTATTTTACATAACTAAGCACAAACGACACACTCATCGCTAGCCAGCGATTTCTTCCAGGCAACCTAGCATTACATGGAAAATAGAAAAATAAATAGCCGATTGTGCATACAACTAGACAAATCATAATAATTAAAAAAAAAACAAAAACAAAAGAAGGACAGTTTTAAGGTACGAATAAAATGCTCTGACACTAGCGAAAACCAGAGCGCGAGAAAAAAGATAGAAAAATAACATAACACAATAACCGTTCACAGGATGGGTGACCAAAACATTGTTATTTTGATCACTGTGCACAACACTGGCACTATGCATGTTAAGCCGTTAGTCCTGTTAGCCGTTAACACCCACCGATCCGCATTAATCTCGCATAGTGGGTTAATATGGCCCATTGATCTTATTCGATTCGACTCCATTCATAGGAAAACAAGAATTCTACCAAAATACTTCCCACGCAGACGAAGTCGCGGGCACAGCTAGTATTAGAATAAACAGCTATTTACCAAGACTTAGTGAATGTATCGCCATAACTGCGGGACATATACTCGTAATTTACATAAACTATGCGGTCCCTCGTGTATCAAGATAATTTCTGCCAACGCTTAGTGCTTACCCGACCAATCAACACACGTAATATTTGTTAATATGTGGCCTGAAATGTGTATTCAACCGTCAATATGCATTGATGAAACATCTTCATAAACATAATGTTAAAACCTTGTAGCAGATGGACTGTAGCTGGATTTGAAAGCGGGCAGGTAGCAGAGGTCTCGAATAAAACACTTGGTTCGGAGAAACTCGGAGAACGTTCGAAGGCAGAACATGCTTTATTGCGCAAAATCGATTTCTTATATACAATTTGATTTGATAGCTCATACATAAATCAGTTAATCTTATTAGATTCCTTAGAGTGG